GCAACGGCAGACACCGGGGGGGGGGGGGGGCGCAAGCTCCTGAGCACTTTGTAAAGAATGAGGAAGCCCAGCGTTTCCACACATTTTTAGATGCCACATGTGAACCGTCCCTAAAACCACCAGTAGGTGCTGGCAAGTCCCTATCTTAAGTCATTCATCAAATCATTTACTCAAACGATTTGCTCAAAATGGCTTATTCATTTAGAAAGGAAGCAAGTAACAGTCTTTATGAACGGATCGTTGAATCATTGACTCACTCGATTCATTCAAAAACATACATTTATGAATGAAACAACACAGTGTTGCTCTGAGATGCACAAATGTCTGCCTCCGGCTTTGTTTGGGATTATTTTAGTTGGCAAAACAGAAAAAAACAGACAATATTGTGTCTAAATGTAACTTAACTTCTTATCTGTTGAACTGCTGTATAAAAATCAATGTCACATTTGCGATGATGCTCACGGAAAATGTCACTCTTGCTTGTGTGATATTACAGCACTGTATTATATCTTATAAATATAAAAAACAAAAACCCATACAGGCATATGTTTTGCTTTCATAACTTGAATAATAGGCTCATTCTAACTGCATTCTGATAGGCTTAATCAAGCAGTGAATACTTTTTTGAAAAGTCTTTGTTGCCAAGTGAGTAAAACAACAATCGATATCGTAGACGATAAATACTGCACACCCCTATAATAAAGTAGACCTGAAGATGCTTTATTCATTGATAGTCTTTATTTATCAATAATCTGTCCCTCCATCTATCTTCTGAAGCCAATGGAAGATGAACGAAGTGATTTTTTTAGGTTTTCAAGGAAAGACGTCTATAGATTCATATTGTAAAAATATTATCTTTGTATTTTGTCATTATATTTTGTTTAATGTTCTGTTCAGCATGTAATAGGGACAATCGAGTGGAGCTGTAACATCATCCATGTGTAGATGTATATGTAGCAGAACTGTTTTTTTCTTACTTTTTAATTTCTGTGATCTCTATTTTTTTTAGCTTCCACAGAAAAGAAAGTGAGGGAATCGACTGAAATGATCTCACTGCTGTCTGAAGAGGGTGTGGATTAAGAGGATGAGCAGCAGGGGATGAGTTCACTTTAATAAGACACGCAATGTAAATGTTGGAAATGTATTCAATATTTTAAACAAAGCTTTGTCAAATATTATTCAAAAGAATATTTTGGAACTTGTAGTTGTTCGAGTTGTATGCATTAGCCTATTGTGCCTGTTCAATGTCTGTATTTCTGTTGTTGTCCATACCAGTAAAGTTTTGTTGATTGACTCGGAGAAAGAGAAAAAAGCGATCTTTAGTGGCTGCAAACAGCAGATGGTGCTAATGCAGTATTATTATAGTTTGAGATGTGTTAAAAAGAAAAAGTTACCATCATAACCATTTCAGGGTTCCCCGCATGTGTGTTATGTCTAATAAAGCTGGAGGATTTCGGATTAACACTGTTAGTTAATAGCCACCGTTTATTATTTTATTATACTCAAGTGTTTAGGCGAACCCTGTATGAACGCTCTGTTACAGTAGCATAAGTCATAAATTCATAGCATAAATTCATTATTTACTATAATAAAAGAAAACTTACATTTTTGTCTTTAGTAAGGAGCAATTTTTAACAAATGTCGCTGTCAGCCGGGTGGGAGTGGTTCGGTGTTAATATCAGATTTTGATGGAATTTGCAATATGAGGAAGACTTTAAAGATCTTTCTGTTTTTCACATTTAATGTGCGATAAGTGTGTAATTTCATTCTTAAACACTTTCGGTTTCACTTTGAGCATTTCACATTGGATGAAGTTTCTCTTATTCCTTAAACTGTCACTGTTCTGCTGGCGGGATGCTTGGCACTCCTTTTTTAATTGCGTTTTTACTCTATCAAATATTTTAGTAATCACCCTGAACTAGGTAATTTGAAAGCTTAAAAACACAAAATTCATCCTGTGAGAACCGTTTTGGAATCAGACATTGCGTTACCATGGAAACAGTACTTTAAAATCCTCTTAGCTAGCTCCTCCCCCTAGTGGATGGTGTCAAGTTTCATACTACAAAATTTACTATGCTATTTTATAATCAAATCTTTTTTAATGTTGACAAAACATATCATTGGAAAGATCTGACAGTCAAGGTTTCATATTTGGTGACTGTTTTGTGGTAGAAGTGATATCGTGACAGAAATTGATTGATTTGTGACAGAAAAATGCGTAAAAAAAATTCAGTAGAGTTTGGGTGTCACCCGGTGGTTATTTTTGGTACAGCGCCCAAACAAAATCTCTCATTTTGTGATATCAACTTCAAATTTGGAACATAACTTGGTTAGACATATGGCTTTAATTTTATAGCAATTTTAGAGTGCAATATATTTTAGAAAATATTTATTTTATATAAAATAAAGTTTTAGTATACTACATTTTCTTTACTGTAAACTTAAACTTCTATAACTTTTTTATATTTTCTTTATATACTTTCACTTCAGCAATATTCTGCTGTGTGATTTAATAGGATACTCCTGTAAGAAAATAGCAATAGTTGACAGACTTTCAGCATAATCTTCACTTGAAATGGTACCATCTAATCCTGTTTACATGAAATATGAATTGAGTTTACGGACCTGTTGCTATGACAACAACTCCAGGATGAGGTTCGAAGAACTTAATCCGGGATCATGTCAAATCATCAACAATAAAATCCAGCTAACTGAGTAATCAACATATGAAAGAACAGGCCCCAGATGTTAAATATACAGTATATAAATAAACATTACAGTTTTTTACGATTGCTTACACACTAAAATTAAACTTTTCCAACAATTAGCAAAACCTTACACTCAAGGAGCAAAACACAAGGCTAGATTTGCACAACTGTAAGCACATTGTCAGCTTCACACTATTTGCAAAACATTACACACAGTGATTTGCAAAACACTAAACACACTTGTATACATCAGACACAGAAGTATATCATGATGTCACTTCCTTGCAATTCCAAAGCACTGACTGTCAAATTACCACACCTATGAGCCAATCTGTTAAACACAGCCATCAGGTGCACAAACACATGATTGCTAAATTGTAGACACACCAATCAGGTTTAAGCACTATAAAAATGCAGCAGGTAGGTTCACCTGCCTTCAACCAAAATGGAAGGAGTCAGAAGAAGAGTGAGGGTGAGAGGAGGAGTACACAGAGGAGGAGAAGGAGGTAGAGGAAGAGGCAGAGGAAGACCTGAAGCAGGAGGAGAACGTGCACAAAGAAGAAGAGGACCAAACTTATCAAATGACATTCGTGCAACACTAGTGGACCATGTTGTGAACCACGGATTGGTTTTGACAAAAGT